ACCCATGAGTTCCCATTCTATGGAAGGTTTCCAGGCAGCTTTGGAATAACCAGGAAGGGTCTCTGTCCTTAAGGGCTGTTTGCTTGTCCACTCACTGCCACTGACTCCTCCTTAGCTACCCAGTCTGCATGGTGACCTCCAGCCAAAGATGTCGGAACCAATTGCACCAAGCTGTGCCTGGTTGCTCAGCCCTCTCTGAGGAATGCACACGTGCAGCTTGCATTTATTCCAACTTATAAAAAAGAGCACTGAGCGTTAGAAAACTTGGCTTCTGCCAACTCAACAGTTGTGGGCATCCACTGCCAACTAGAAATGCTTCTGGTGCCACACCTGTTAGCACAGTTTTATTCTTAGCAAACACTCACAGGGGTCTGGATCTTCACCCCATCGTGCCCTCCTGAAGAGCTGTTGTTGGGTCAGAAGGAGCTAAATAATCCGAGGGGTACTTCTCCATCTGAGAAACACAGCTCCTTATGGGATGACACCAGGAATATCTTTGAAGTATGGCGTGTGGGAAAGGAGGGCAGGGGAGGCTCTGAGTACGAGCAGTGGACTAAGATTGCAGGGTAAAATCACACAGTATAGCTACAGCAGGACAGGTCAGGAAGGAGGAGTTTGCTTGCTAGATTTCAGCAGCAATGGCTCTCGCAGGAATGTAGGTCCTCCTGATGGCTGTTCTCGCCCACGGCCTTTTAGCTTGAATGGTCGGTAGCGAAACGGAGACCAAATTTCAAGAGTGTCCAAGTCTACTCTGTTTAATTTATGGCACCTCCTTGCCAGTTTGGTATCTCTGAAAGGATTGAAACCTCCTTCAACGAGCGTGTTGGGAGCACCCTTCACATCTGTGCTCCTCAGGCCGCAGATGAGGGGGTTCAGCACGGGGACCACCAGCATGTAGGCAACAGACACCACTTTGTCATGGTCCAGGGAGCAGCTAGAGCTGGGGCGGAGGTACAAGAAGATCGGGGTCCCATAAGGAAAGGAGACGGATCTCAAGCGCGAGGTGCAGGTGGAGAAAGCTTTGTAGTCGCTCTCTGGGGAGTGGATCCTCAGGTTGGTTGAGAAGATGTTACCATAAGGGGCAAGGATGAACGATAAAGCGCTGGGCACAGTGAAGGTGACAATGACAAAAAGCACATGATCATTGACAGTGGTGCTGGGGCTAGGTCTGGCCCAGTGAGGTGGCAGCGGGTGACGAGAGTGGAGCCGCATTGACCCAGTCATGCTGAGATTCCCCACCAAGGCGGCGATGTGGGTCAGAAGGAACAGCATGAAGGGAAAGACCTGCACCTCCCGACTGTCCCTGATCCCCAAGATCCCCAAGACGAACCGGTCAATGCTGGTCCTTGTCGCCCTCCCCTTAGCAAACGTGTGCCCTTGAGAGGGACAAAAAGCAAAGAGCACAAACCASCTCCAGACGCACTGTAGAAAAACTGGGTGCTGCTTTATTTTAATAGAAACCCAGTTGTCTTCTAGTACCCCAGAACTGGGTGCTTAACTCGTTTCTCTCAAAACTTTTGCCTTTCTTACACCTTCAACACTCCTGGAACAATGGCTGCAAAGGATGACTTCAGCTCCACTACTGAGATGGTTCCAGGAAAGCGCATGAACCTGTTATATTTTTGATATTTTCTGCTCTGTTCTCTCATTATTTTTGTTCTCAAAAGTTCATCCTGGGTCCGTGGTGCCTTGAAGGGAGTAAAGGATGATGCCGGTTATTTATTCTGCCATTGCTGAACACTGGAGTAGTTAATAGCTCTCCACTTCCATGGTTGACATTTAGACTGGCCGGTGCATCCTGAGCAGAGATCCTTACAAGCAAATACCCCTAAATAAATAAAATGCATATAGAAAAATCAATGTATGTTGAAAAGCAGACGATGAACAGAATCCATATGCCAATTCCGATACATAACAACTCAAAGGAGAGCCACCTTTTGAGAGAGTCTTTTGAAGTTGCATTTAGAGTCAGGGAAAGGAGGAGCTACTGCAAGGTCAATCCACCCAAGCTGCTCAGGATATCTCACCTGGGGCAAAATGCGTCACCTCTTAGAGGTGCCTCCAACTCGCCCCCATTTATAGAGAGTGAGAGATGATTAGATCAGCTGTAGAAACTTGACTCTGCAGACAGTTTCGTCTGACAAATCAGCCCTTCAGAGTCAACTGACATGTTAAATAAAAGCTTATAAAAATGTCAACGGATGCCACAGAAAAGAAAGAAAAACGTTATTACCCCATCATTACCTTTTCACGCGTCTTAAATGTTGACTTCAAAGCAAATGCCTCTCATTTTCAGATTACTGGTGTTTCGCTSAGTTCCGTGGAAAACGGGAACTCCTAATTGCAAGGATATTAACTGAATGCCTGAGTTAGCGTGGAGGAAACTTATTTATGATTCTTTTTCCACTGGTGTGTACATGAGCATAGACTGCAATGTTGGACGTTTTATTACTGAGCAAAAGAGGAAGGAAGGACAACAGAGCAGTGAGAGCAGTGACATGAGTAGGTGATCTACACGCAAGAACATTTTTCCTACATTGGAAACTAATTTATCAGAAAAAAAAAAAAAGAAAAAGAAGTAAAGAAGTTACTTCTTCCTCTAAAAAATAAAAATCTGCTAGAAAGCTGAGTACAATGGCTTATAAAGAAGCTCTAAATTATGGGCCTGAATAAKCTGTTGGCATGTTCTGCCTTTCTTTCATCTTTAGGTAATGCTATCATTTATTTCATCAGCAAGCTGGAGGTGGACAGGAGATGGCAGGTGACTCCTCAAGTGATTAGCACTTAACGACTCGGAAAAGTTGACCTGAAGTTCCCTTGGGGCCAGGTAATCATCTCAAATCGCTGCTGACTCTCAGGAACCACCGCCCGCCCGCCGCGTGCAAGCTGGATTCCAGCTGGCATTCCCCTCGTTGGACCCAAAGGTCATTTCCATTGCTTGGCAGGCTTCCTGGTGGAGCAGGAAAATTTATTTTTACTGATTTACAGTCTGCGGTCATCCGAGCCGCCGGCATCAACGGAGGGAGTCGATTAACGTTGGACATGAGGTTGCTCCCTAAAGCACAACTGGATCGGGAGAGAAACGTGCAGCTCGGGTAAGCGATGTCCACAGCGATCTATGCCTAGGTATCTACGTTGAGTATATTTGCTGAGATTTGAGGGATTATTTCCCTACACATGTTAGAATGGTCACCCAGAAGTTAAACCTGGACAAGTGACTTTTAATTGCGTATGTTGGGTGACGAATCCCATACCAAAAAAAAAACAACAAAAATGCGAGTAACAGTCCAAAAATGATAATTTCCCCACTTTCTCCTGGAGGGATTTCCATACATGAGTCACTCCCAAACCATCCATTACATTCCCTCATGCCATCCCTCATTCCCTCATGCCTCACGCCAATCTAAGTCAACCGACCAAGATTAACAACTCTAACCTTTAAAATTCAGATGAGTTTCTCTATTGGGCACTAGTTTTCACCTCTTCAGATTGATATTATTCTTTTATCCACAGAATGTCTTTTCATTAGCCAAGAGTATTAACACCAACTCTCCTATGAAAGAAACTTTAGCTTTTTTTTTGTTTGTTTGTTTGTTTTAATACTAATAAAAGTGAAGAGATTTAGCAATCTTATTAAGCAGTAGTTTGGTGACAAGCTGTAAAGCTTTCCCTGCGTGTACCACTTCTGTATTGATTATATGTGAATTTATTGAAGGCAGCTTCTACTCCAGGCTTCTTCTGGCGCAGAGAGTCATGTCCAGAAAACGTACCACAGATTTTAGGATGCACTCAGTTTTCATGGAGAATGAAGGATCCTGAAAGACGAGATCAGGACGGGTTGGCTAATACGGCATCCACCAGCTCAATTTTAATCATCTAAACTTTTGGCAGGGAATCTATATTGGAAATCGGTCTTCCTTTGCCATCAGTGGACAGACAGACACGTCCTGCAAGGGAGGCATCTCCCTATCCCACTGTGATGGTTGTGGATGGGGCCTGAGCCGATCCCTTCCCAAAAATTTAGATAAATATCCGTGCCATTCACTGCAACTAGAGTGTTTGGAAATACAGTTGGAAACACACTTGGAAACCAAAATCCTCCTTTCTGAATCCGCCAGCCCCTGCCTTAACCACGTGGTTAAGGATCCTGGAATGGATCACCTTCGCTGTTCAGTTTTTTCTTTTTGTGGAAACACTGAGATTTCTGTTTTACGTGTGTCTTTTTCTTCATAGCATTAATATTTGCAGGGTTATTTTACTGATTTGTCACTTCTTTTTGTCAGATCTCCTTTTTCAATCAGTACCTGCCAGATGTGTCTGTTCTGCCTAGGGTTTATACTGACATTAGCAGAAATGCTTTTAATTTTGCCAAATTAAGTCAAACTCTTCATTTTTTCCCCGAGAAGTGTAACACTAGTGCCCAGATAATTCTGCATGTGTTTGAAGCGCAGCTCATCATCAATCAATGGACTGAGCTTTCTCCGAGAGCAGGCGGCAGGGATAGCTGCTTTGTAAATGCAGAAATACCCTCGTCTGAGTATTTAAAAGCAGAACTGGATTTTTCCTCTCGGGATGTGCTTTAAACGTGGCCTAGGCCGGGGAYGTGCCCTGCTGCGCTTCACACTGACCAGGGCTCCCTTCTCCTCACAGCGCCTACCCCATTCTGGGCCCAGGGGACACCTTGCGCTCGGGCTTTACCCGCTGCCCACGTCCCCTCCCGTCCATGCCGCGGGATTCCCTAATAATCCCACGGGGATCCTAAAGGAAATGGGCGCGGGAGCGCGGCGCTGTCATGGCGGCCGCCGCGGCGGACTACATCTCC